ATATATATATATATATATATATATATATATATATATATATATATATATATATATATATATATATATATATATATATATATATATATATATATAGTTCTTAACCAGGTATTTATATAATTAGTTTGGTTTGATTTTTTTGATTATTTTTTACTTAAAATCAAAAACTATAACAAAATATTATTTGCTTTTATAGTTTACAATAAAACCAAATCAAACCAATTTTTTTTATTGATTCAGTTTTTTATTTGGATCGACTTTTTGGTTTCCCGCGAACATCTCTAGATGAAGTACTCCCTTCGTTTCAATTTAGATAGGGTAGTTTGACTCTGCACAGAGTATATGAGAAAAAAAAGACTTTTAAAATTTATGGTCTTAAATGCTTAAAAGGAAAGGTTTGTGAGGCCATGATATTTTTGTGGTTATAAAAGCTTTTCATTAAGCGTAAAATGAAAATTTTAAAGTTGAATTATTTTTAAATTTAGAAATATGTCATTTATTTTAGAACATACTAAAAAAAAAGTAGTTCATCTAATTTGAAAATAGTGAGGATATCTTAGAACTTACCATCGTCATTGTCATTGGCCCACAAGACAATGAAAACATACTTAGTCATAGGTACGAGGATAATGGTATAAATGATGAGGGACAACACCCCAAGAATGTCATCCTTGTGTCCCGTATTATCTGGGAAAGTACTTGCATAAACGTAAAGAGGGGAAGTCCCTATGTCTCCGTAGATAACTCCTACCGACTGAAATGCTAAACTCAATATTGTCTTCCAATCAGCCTGCAAATATGAATTATAGTCATGTCACAGTATCGCACATGCATGCATAATCATCCACGACGATAACCAAGTTGTAATATAATCTCTCTGGACAGAAATTAACTTTATATTAAGACAAGAAAAATATTGACACGTCCATTAATGTCATTTACAAGGTTACTTTCTATTGGAAAACAAAATTCTAACTTGAATAGAGTTACGGACAAATTAGAATAGCTTATGTTGAAGATACAATTAAATAAAAAATAAGGTTTCCCTTTAACAGCTTAACTTTTTAGATGAGCAGGCATAACTTTTTAGATGAGCAGGCATAAGTCCTGGTTCGAGTTTTACCGTCACTCATTATCAAAAAGAATTTCCACGAGTTTGACCTACAAAAAGAAAATCAGGTCCGAACGGAGGGGCGTGTTAAAAATATATTAAATAAATAAAATTATTTCCTATCTAACAATTTAAACTTTTAGATAAGATGATCACACAATTCTACAACTTAAATATTATACTTTGTAACAACTCCTTTATCCAAATCTTGTACAATATTTTTCAGGTTACTTATCCATGTTCAATGTAAACTGTTACTTGTAACTACTTTTTTAGTTACATATTTATAATATTCTTTTTATTTCTTTAACTTAAATAACTTTTTATACTATTAGATCACCTAAATAAGTAGAGTTAATAACTTGAAAAATAACAAGGTGACCAACTATAACATGTTAAATTATAGTATAAATATTCTATAAACTATCGATATATTTCATATAGCGAATCCAAGATTTCGAGAAAATGTATGCACTATTACGAAATGTTAGATCTAATATTTAAATTTGAGGGGTTCAATCTTTAGGTTCTTAATTACCACTCAATTTGAAGGGTTAAATTTTAAAAAATATAAACCAGATAAAGAAAGAAAAAAATTACTTGAAACGCAACTAAGGTACACTAGATATGCTCATTAATTTAGGTGGGCTTAATTCTAGAAAAAAGAGAGAGTAAGAAATAGCTAATCAAACGTGAGATTTGAACCTCCGGCCTTACTTATAGAGGTGCACTTAGTGATTATACCATCATATAATTTGGGTTCACACATACATGTTTAAGTATTTTTTAAGAAATCTATAACATTGCTATATATGATTTAGGGAGGTAAGTACGTTTGAAGAAATATAACATTGTTATATATGATTTAGGGAGGAAAGCATAAGTGTACGTGAACCCATGCCTCTCACATATATTTGCCACTGTGTATATCAGTTAAATCTTTTTTTTACACCGCGAGTATATAAATTTCTTGCACCAATTATGTATATAACTTGAACTCTATAATGTGAACGCTACTGTGTTAAAACGCAAAATCAGAAAGACTGTTAGAATAAAAAACTGGAAAAAACAGTAAAGTATAAAAAATATTCCGAGTCCACAATTTGCTTTTGCGTCCTTAAGGAATTTTAACCCCCTCACACGTTGCCAAGGTAATGGATTAAATTCTCCCAGGATGAAACGGAATAAACCTTCCTGCAACAGTGGCAATACAAACTGCAGGATACCAACGAACTCAAAGAACGGAGCAAAATCACACTTACGAATTTGAGAGAATTCTGCAAAATAGAATGCAGGATATTCAGAAGGAAGGAAGTTCTGTAATGTTTCAGTGTTTCGAAAATGCAGCCATGCCTCAGAATTTATAAGCAATTATCGGAAGAGGTGTGACTGTTCAGGAAAAGCGTCTGTTCAGAAGGAAAAAAAACGTTCAGCGTTTGGATTTCAAGATTTTAGTTAATTTCGTTAATTTGGATTTCAAATTTCAGTTAATTTCGTTAATTAACTGACTGAATTTTAATTAATTATTAAATAATTAATTGAATAAATTTTGTCCAAAAATAATCTTATCGATCGATCATTTGACAAATCCAAATCCAAATCCAAAGCCAAAGCCAAAGCCGAAGTCGAGCCGAGCGAGAGACGACGACGGCGCGAGGGTTCATTCTCTTCAACTCCTTTTAAGAGCTCTAAGAAGTGATTCTATATATACACACACAAATGTAGTTGTCCCTCACCAATGAGGGACAAAGTTCAAGACAAAAGCTCACTTCATTCAAATTTTCATTTTCCTCCATTTTATTTCCCACCATTTCTAATTCACACTCTTAGACTTTTAAAGCCCAATGCTTAAAGTCTTTAAAGCCCAATGCTTAAAGTCCAACAATCCCCCACATGAATGGGAATGGCTGTAACAAGAATGATCATAGATGAAAGCTGTGTGATTTGCAAGTAAGGATTAATTGCATCTGGATAAGTAGGTTTCCCTTTGAACTTTCCGTAGTGAACATATGTCGGATATACTCGGTCAATCGGTAGATTTGATATCTTTGAACCGTCGAACTTTAGTGTATACCTAGACAACCATATGTCACACAACCAACCCTTAACCGTCTTTTGGTTCTCATTGTTGTGTTCGTTTCAGCCATGAACACCGCCTGGTTTCATAAGTGCGTAGAGAATTGGCCTTACAGAATTCTCA